ACAGCCTGCCTCCTTGTTTCTCCTCCTAAAACGTACTTTAAGGATTTTGAGCCTCAGCAGACAGAAGCCTGAAAAGGTCTGAAAGGGAGATCTCCTGGTCCTTAGAGCCCCAGCTGAAGCCCAGGCAGCTGGCAGTGGGAGTGGTGTGTGCAGGAGCACAAGGGTATCTGCCCCAGCTGGGAACATCATGGGTCAATCTGTACATCTCAGCCTCATTCTGGGCCATAGTCTGGAGTGGTGCATGCTTTCTTCACAGCCCACTGAGACCCCTTGCATTGGTGGTTCAGTGGTAAAATACTCGCCTTTCACGCTGGAGGCCTGGGTTTGATTCCCCGCCAAAACTCCAATGTTAAAAATTATGCGCACAACAAATATTATATGAAAGAGGTTTATTGGATGGAGATGGGGAGAGAGAAGAGGACAAACATGATAGGGAGAGGGAAGGGGGTGCCCCAGCAGAGAAAGAGGAAAGAGCAGGAGAGAGGGGTAAGAGTAAGAGAGCAAGAGAGAGAGTTAAGAGGCAGGGCTCCATTTATAGCTCCTGCACAGCTGAACCCTGCCTGCCAGGTGTATCTATCTGGAGGGTGACACATGATGACATCATAGTTTACTAGGCAACCCAGAAGCAGGCTGCCTAAATGCCAACACCCTTGGAAGCCCAAGGCTGCAAGGTGAGTGTCACCTTCATTGAAGTATAGGCGAATCTCTACTGCTGTTCCACTCTGAGCTCTTTGTGGGATGGCCTTCCTGATCTCAGGAGTTATCCAGCTTTGTCCTAGTCTTACCTTGAAGCCTGAGCAGGCCTTCTCTCCCACTTCTCACAGAGGATTTCAAAGGAAGGACAAGGATAAGCCACCAAGGTGACTCTCTCCCTGGCTCAGCAGGGCCTGCCATGCCCAAGGTGATCATAGTGGGCTTGGATAGGATGTGCTGGATTCCAATAGGACCCCTTAACTCCTTCTAGTGGGACTGTGGCCTGAAGCACCTTACCTGAGAGTTCATAATCACATCTGACAGAGTCCATGTAAGCTGCCAAAGCCCTGACACCTGCCTACTTCAAGATGCTGACTCTACCAAGAGGCCTGTGTGCCTGAAGCTGGCTGCTTCAGCTTCTCCAACAGTGGTTGTCCCAGTCTCCACCGCCCACAGCCTCCTGGGCATAAGGTACCCTCACCAGAGATCCCTGTCCCAGCTCAATGTCCTGTTCTCCTCCACAAACAATCTTGCCTTCCTGGGCCTGTGGGCCAGGCCACTCCTTTGCAGGATTCCACTGTCCCTGCCTTGGGGGACAGGTACAAGTCTGGGATGGAAGAGCTACGTGCAGACCTGGGACAGTAAGGGAAGACAACGGACAGCCCAGGAATCTGGTGCCCCTTAGGAAGTCGCACACCAGAACTCAGGCCTTCCTTTTAAGCAGGAAACAGCTTCGTTATCCACTTCCTACTTCTCCAGTTCCAGATGGGAAGAGCATCTTTGTCCTTCCTCTCCATTGTAAAGTACCTAGCACAATTATTTTTAGAATCTGACCACACTGGGGGAGGGAGATAGATGCCTGACCAGATGTCATAAGTGACACAGAGTTTCCTTTGCTTGTATATTTCCCAAGGTGGGGAGGGGGCCAGTAGCCCACACAGTGGTGGAGGACATTAGAGCTGGACCTTGACTGGCCTCCTCAGAGAAGCAGGAGTTGAACTCTCTGCTGGGAAAACAACAGCAAAGCATGGAGCCTCAGGGAGCCACATGAAGGTCAGAAGACCAAGGGTCGCATGGTGAGGCCTCAGCAGCCTCTGTTGTCCCCTACAGGGCCCAAGGAAAGGGAACTCTCCAGGCTGATATGGGTGGCTGAGTAGGTTCTAGGGATCAGAGAAAAGATGTAACACGGTCCCTGGGTTTGGGGCAGCTGGGAGGAAGCCATCGTCCAAGGGGTTTCTGAGGCTGTGGTGTGTCTCCCTCACAAGCTCATAGGAAAGAAGAGGTGGGCTCTGACCCATCCATCATGGCTGCCTCTGAGCAGAGGTTCTCAAGAAGAAAATGGTGCCTGTCTGGCCCAGGAGAACCTACACATCACCTCTGAGGGAGTTAGGGGAAGAGGATCTGGGCTGTGCTTCAAGAAAGGAGCCCCAACCAAACAGGAAGAGAGTCAGCTTCAGGGAATGGAGGGAACCCAGGACATAGCATGAAGGCTGCAATAACTATAGCCTATGTCTGCCTCAAAGGCCTAATCTCAAGCCAGACACCAGATGTTAACCTCAAATGCTGCCTCTATCAATTACTGCAGCTCCAATGTGCCCCATCTCCCAAATGTCCCCCTGATTTTCTCAGTAGTGTTCTTGCAAGTGGCACGGCTCTCAGTCTGACACCATAGAGGCCACAACAGGACCATATATCCCCCCTCCCACGCTGCCTGCCCAGCCTTACCAGTCACCTTATCAGCCGCCTCACTAGAGGGAGCATAAGTAGCCAGGAATTCCCTATCCACAGTCAGCACCAAGGTGTGAGGCCAAGACTGCTGCTGGCAAAAAAAGAACAAAGTGGGGAGGGGCCCGGAGTCCAGAAGCATCCTCAGAGACCAAGGAATCATGCATTAAAGGCAGGGCGAGAACCCACAGGCAGAAAGGTCTGCAGGCCGGAAGCCAGGGTTCTTGCACTCTCAGGGGACATGGCCTTACTCTGGAGGAGGTATAGGCTCCCTTGGGCCTGCTCGAGCAGCCATGTTGGCGGGGAGTGGGAGGGAAGGTGTGGAGATGGGGATCCATGCTTACTGAACAAAGTGATTCCCACCCACAGTCGGATCAGAATTGAGGGGATCAGGTATCTGCCATCGGGGTATCAGGTAGGCAATCTCATCTCCATCTAAGGACCATCAACCTTGGCTTAGCTGGACCAGACTCCAGCAGCCTTTCCTGTAGGGCTGGGAACAGTATGTGCTGGGACTGGGAGGGGTTTGTGCAGCTCTAGGGACAAAGTGCACCTCCTACTGAAGCCAGGGTGGCCACACCACTGCCCCCTACGTTTCCTAACTCTTGCTCTCACTCTTCTGAAATTCTCACGAGCTCAGGCCTGGGTGTATGTGGCTCTGGCAGTAGAGGAGTTAGGCTCACAGGGAGACTGCTTGGCAGAGCCTAGACCAATGGAAGGAAAGTGTAGTAGCAAGCCTACTTCCCCCTACAGGGTCCTGGAAGGTCCAGGCCCTCACCAGGTAAGAGGGACCTCCCCCTCCAGAGGAAGCAGCTGGCACCTAGAAGCAAGCACGTGGCCTGCAGAGCATGGGGCCAGAAGAAAGTCCAAAGCAGATGACCTGACTTGGGAAGAAGCCATGGCCATGAGGACTTAGGAACTTCAGGTCAACAGGAGGCTGGGCAAGTTACCAAATGCTGGGAAAGGAGAGAGTTCAAGAGGAGACAAAGAGGCCCAACATGCTCTTGACTGAGGCATCAGAAAGATGTCTTCCAGTCAGCCCAAAAGAGACCACCCATGCCATGCATGTCCTTTGCATTTGTGAGTCCTAGTCCTTGATGGTCACGTCACCCTAGGAGAAAGATGAGGTAAGATTATTTGAGGAACAGGGAACTGGGACTCAAATATTTGCTCCAAGTAATCCCTGGAGATTGGCAATTTCTCCCACTCCCCATTGATGATTCAGGAAACTGAGGCTTAGGGGAGTTAAGGAGCTGGCTCAAGCCACAAGACAGGCAGACTTCCCAAGACTTGACCCTGACTCAGACTCCTGTCCAGAGCCCAGTGCCTCCCTCCATACTTTAGGTGAGGGAACTTGACTACCTAGTACCTAGCTTATGCATCTGCAAACTCCCCCGGACCCTGGGGGATCTGCTGCACCCTGGGAGAGACCTGAGGAGTCCAAGGGCTCATTTAGAGTATACTGCAGGAGACAATGGCTGGAACTTTGCCAGGCAAAAGCCAGGCCAAGCAGACTGTAGCCAGTCCCAGAAGGCTCTCTGCCTCCAAGTCAACATCTACCTAGGTGCAGAGGCCCAGGGACAAGGGAACCTACCTTCTGCAGCCTTATCAGTGGCAGGGGTATCCCTGAGGGGTTAGAGGCTGCACTGTCAGGGGGCAGACATGGAGAAAAGTGTGAGCAGTACGGAGGCCTTTAGGGATGGTAACTCATGAAGAGATTGAAGGGAAAGGAGGTTATTAAGGGAACAGCCTGTCTAAGGAAGAGGAGGCCAGGGCAGCAGGAGCCTGGGCCAGCAAGATGACAGACAGGAGGTGAGAGGAAGAGCAAGCAGTTCTTGGAGCTGCAGCTGGACAGGCCATGCTCTTATCTGAAAACTCCTGCATGACTCCACTAAGATGGAAGGTGCTCAGATAAGAGTCCTGAGCCCTTATGGCTGTGCAGCCAGGGTCCCTAGAGGTTTGGGATAGATGCTAATGTACCTTAGGTCTGGGCTCATATCAACATGACAATGTTGAGGCCTGGAGGGCAAGGAGCCAGGGCAGGACCAGGTGGCTCCTGAGACCAGCATTCACCTTTTGTAGTCCCCACCAGGCAAAGGAAACAGCTCAGGTGAGCAACACACCGAAGGCCAATATAATAAATTCTCCTTCCTCTCTATCTCCAGAGCTTCTGGAGGAAAGTTGTTGGGAGCTGCGGAAAGACTGGCCTTCATTTGGAGTCAGTGAAGAATTTCCAAGTCTATTTCACCTTCTGTTTGAGACAGCGAGTAGGGTATCCTTGTTTAGGACACACCTTTTGTTTGACGTCCTTGTGAATTTACTTATTTGTCCTGAGGCGCTTTTGCTCTGGCTTAAAAGGAGTCTGAAATAAAGCAAGGCGTCTAGTTTCCACTAGAGCCTCTCGGAAAGGTCCCATGTGTTGTGTGTTGGCTTATTAATTTCAATCCTCACTCCCTACTCAAGAGCCGTTCAACTCTGCCGGCGGGCTCTGGCAGGAAGTGATGTTTCTGGCCTGGCGCCTGCAGCTAGAGACTAATGCAAGGCCCATTGTTTGAGGTTAGAGCTGGTGGGGGCCACGGGAAGCCCCTAGCAATGCCCTGTGTCCCACTTAGTAAAGACTCAGAACCCCGAGTGAGGACTGCACCAGTGGACAGAACAGCCCGGTACCAGGATGAAGGCACTTAGGGCTATCCTCCTGATCTTGCTACTAAGCGGACAGCCAGGTGCGGGTTCACCTCAGGAAGGGGTGGCCAAGTCCTCACCCATGAGTACCTCCAGGAACCCCCTTATCCTAGGGACAAGGAATAGGCTCAGGGAAGAAGATGGAAGGCTGGGCTCTTCTCTCTGCCAGTTGCAGGCTTGGCTGCTTTAGCCCTGCAGGGATAGGGGTGGGGAGAGTGCTGTCTCCTTGTGTACAACGGAAAGGGTAGGAAAAAGAGGCGTCAGGACTTAGTGCTCAATCCTGAGGGTGTCTTCTGCATCTGAGTAGCCAAGGCTTACTGATGTCCCTGCACCACCAGGGAGCAGATGGGCACAAGAAGAAGATGGTGATGTGAACTTGGGGCCAAAGAGCGACGACTTCGATGACGATGATGACGATGATAATGATGATGATGATGAAGAGGAGGAAGAAGAGGAGACCAACCTGATCCCTGGAAGCAGGGACAGAGGTACCCCACCCCAGCCGAGGGCCCAGCTTCCTGCTCTACATAGAGCATTCCTCTAACCCTTACCTTCCGGTCCTGAGGGCAAAGCAAAACAAGCTGCTAGCATCCAAACCAGAGCCCCAGCATGCCCACACAGTGGCTCTCCCCTCAGGCCGCAGCTTTCTCCACTCTGAGCTAACACCCAGGTCTGCCCCATCTCTGCTCCATGTACCTTAGCCCTGGGCCTTACCTTACCCGATCCCCATGCTCTGTCCTCCCTCTTAATAGCTGCAGGCACAGGCTCCTTCAGGAGGGCTAAAGAGTGGCTGGTGGTGGTGGCGGGGGACTTGGCCCCTGGAGGCCCACTCTCAACCTGTGCTGCTCTGCTGCCCACAGTGCCCCTCCAGTGCTACTTCTGCCAGGTGCTAGGCTTTGGGGAAAGCTGCAACCAGACCCAGAAGTGTTCCCACAGCCAGCCTTTCTGCACCACACTCATCTCCCATACCAACACTGGTGAGCATCTGGGGAGGCACACCCAGGGAGGGGGCTGGAGAACGAGCCCGCACTAACACCCATGCTCCACCCTCACCCTCTGTTCTCCACACCCCCCTAGACAAAGGTCTCCTGATTACCTACTCCGTGTGGTGTACCGATACTTGCCAACCCCTGGCCAAGACTTTGCAAGACACCCACATCACCCAGACATGTTGCCAGTCCTCCTTCTGCAATACCCTACCCTGGGAACGCCCCCAAATCTACAATCCTCTGGGTGGCCAGGCAGACGGTCCCCTGGATGGGGAGGCCAGACACCCTCAAGGCGGCAGTTCAAGCAGCCCTCTAGATGATGGGGCCAGACACCCTCAAGGCGGCCGTTCAAGCAGCCCTCTGGATGATGGGGCCAGACACCCTCAAGGCAGCCGTTCAAGCAGCCCTCTGGATGATGGGGCCAGACACCCTCAGGGCGGCAAGATTGGCCACCCCCAGGTCGTCAAGGCTGCCCACCCTCGGAATGACGGGGCTAGCTTACCCAAGGGTGGCAGGGCTAATGGGCCCCAGGGCAGTGGGGCAGGGTGCCTTCCAGGCTGGACCAAATTTGGTAATACAGCCCTCCTGCTCAGCTTCCTCACCAGTCTATGGGCATCAGGGGCCTGAAGATCTGTCCCCCTCCTACCAGGAGCCCCTGGCCTCCCCTTCCCCACAACCAGCTTCAGAGAATAAACTTGAATGTTTTTTGTTGTTGTTGTTGTTGTTGTTGTTGTTTGCAATCTAGCCAGTTGCCACTCCTCTGGCGATTCTCTGCCCTCAGTTTCACCCTCGGGTCTTCTTGCTCTCTTCTCTCCGAGGGCAGCAGCATAGGTAACCTCGGTCACCTCAGATCCAGGTGTCTGTTGCCTGTGCTGTGGGGGCTGTTCGGCCTACGGGGGACCCCATCTGCCCAGCTGTGCAGAGGTGATGATGAGCCTGTAAGGTCCCTTCTCATCCTGAATGTGACAGCAATTCTTCCTCAGAGCTACCATCGAGATAAAATCAGCCCTTTCGTAGGTGTGAAGCACAGGGTAAGCCTGCAGTGACCTCGTGTGGGTGTGTGTGTGTGTATGTAGGCAGGGCAGAAAGGGTAAGAAAGGCCCCTGAAACCTGGCCCAGAAATCCATCCTCTTTTGGATTCCAGAACCTCTCTTCTAGCCTAGGCCCTCCAAGAGGAGCCCAAGGTGGGCAGCAAGTCTAGGAACAGTAAAAAAAAAAAAAAAAAAAAAGGCCCCATGGGCTCCTGAGGCAGAGAAATAGATGGCACACTCATCCCTGCCCTAGGGGATAGGGTACCTTCACTGGTGAGGAGAGGCCTCTAGCTGTTGAGCAGGTGAGCATCTCCTTGAGTAGGCAGGGAACCTGGCAGATGGGCATGTCATTGACTGGGTGTGGTCCCTATCAGCAGAGCTCTTGGCTCCCTTGACTTCTACCAGCATTTGGTGCCAGGGCAAATCTCTGGGATGGGAGAAAAAAGGCTAAGCCTGGACCACTGCTCCACCGCTGACGTGGCTGGACCTCAGTTTTCGTGCAGCAAGGAGCAAGGCTCAAAGAACTCCTGGGTCCCCAGTAGCTCAGTGTTGCAAGAACTAGAAGTCCAGAGTCCTCTCTTACACGCCAAGTTTGTTCATTGGCATGCAGTAAGAAACCCCTTCTATCCCCCGTCACTCCTTTTCCTTATTGATGTAGTGTCAATAACTAGCTGGGCTGTGTGAGGACAGGGCCCTGGGGTGAAGGAGGCACCTCTTCCTCTTTCTTCTTCCTCATTCCTGCTGACTGGAACTCAGCAGCTCTTTCTACCACGACGAAGCACCACGAGAATAGCAGGGCAACATGGAAGAAGGTTCTGGAATGTCAATAAACAGAAAGCGTTACACCGGCCCTGCACCGTCTACCTCAAGATCCCCTTTCTTAGGAGGGAAGTAAACTCCCTCGTTAAAGCTAACTGCCTTGATTTTCTGTTGCTCATATTTCCACACATTTTCCATGTGTTCATGCACATGGGTTTGCAAGCCTGCTTTGTTACACACACAGACACAGCCCTGAACGGTTCACAGCTGGGGAGTAGTCAGACTACCTACATTTAAATCTTCAATCCACCCTACCAACTCCATCGCCTCCGTGACATGGGACTACCGCGTGGATTCGGTGAGGTGCCTAAGCCTGACACCCCCGGGGTTCCCACAATTCCTAGGCAGGTCAGAGGTGCCTGCCTCAGAGCCCAGTGCAGGATGTGATCCCAAGAAAGAACAACAGGATTTGAGGGAGGGGCCGTGCCCAATCCTCCAGCCAGGCAGGGGGAGGTGGTGCTGGGTCCTGATGAGGTTTCCATCTGGGTCAGTTTCCCAAGGCTGCTGTAGTAGGTCACGTGCTCCAAGCTTATGCTGCAGAACTGGAGGAGGGTGTGGCCCAGACTAGCTTCAACCTGCGGTGTTCCTGTGTGCTGGTCTCAAAAATGTGGCTTAGATCTTAAATGTCCTCCAGACATCGGTGTTGAAGCCTTGAGCATGAGGATGTGGCAGTGTGGGAAGAGGTGGAACTTTTAAGGGGAGAGTGTGTGTGTGTGTGTGGTGTGTGTGTGTGTGTGTGTGTGTGTGGTGTGTGTGTGTGTGTGGTGTGTGTGTGTGTGTGTGTGTGTGTGTGTGTCCCTCTTAGTTACTTTTCAATAACTGAGGAAACACCACGACCTGAGCAACTTACAGAAGAGTTTATTGGGGCGTGCTGCTCAAGGATAAATTCATGGCAGGGAGCATGGCAACAGGCAGGTAAGCCTGGCACTGAAGCAGTAGCTGAGAGCGTGGCACAGAAGGAATGTCTGGGATACTGGTCATGGTGGAACTTTGAAACCTCAAAGCGAGCCCCCAGTGGCACACCCCTTCCAACAAGGCCGCACCTCCTAATCCTCCCCAGACAGTTCCACCAACTGGGGACCAAGCATTTGAACATATGAGTCTATGGTGTTCTGCTTTTTAACACCATCCCACTGCAGCGCCCTGGCCCACCAGCCATCACACACACACACACACACACACACACACACACACACACACACACACTCACAGAATACAATAGGGCAATGGGCATCTAATACCCATACATAGTCTCAGCCTGTGCCCACAGCCACAGGGATAGGAGGTAAAGACCCCAAGACTGGATTGTAAATCTACCTGAGTGCAGGCAGACTGAAGGAGGTACCAATGACACCAACCATAAGCAAGACTCAGCCTCCTCCCCACTTAGAGATGGCTCCATACCCACTCTGAGGGGTGGGGCCAAGGTTGCCCAGGGAAACAAACAGGCATCCTGGAGTTAAAAGGTTTCTTCCTCAGTGTGCCCAGACTTTTTTTTTTTTTTTTCTGAGACAGATTATTTTTATATAGCTCTGGTTGTCCTAGAACTCACTACATAGATCAAGATGTCCTCAGACTCACAGAGATCAGTTTGTCTCTGCCTCCTGAGTGCTGGAATTAAATTAAAGGCACACGCCACTGTGCCTGGCTGTGCCCAGGTTTCTTGTCTCTTAATTCTGTGGGAAACGTAAAGAAAATATACCATTTTTTTTTCTATCAAAGGGTTAAATGAGACAAAGCTTCATTTTTAAAAATTATAAAGAAGCCACTCACTTGGCAGAAATTCAAATTCCCCCAGGGTCATTACTTCTTGAATGTGCTCTCTTTAAAAAAGAGGAAAAGAAAAGAAATGCACTTTGCTTCTCAGCTGCCCTGTTCTAAACCAGACAACAGCATAAGAGTGCGTAAGAGCGCAAGGCCAATCTCTGACCCCTCAGAGTGATGGGACCATTTTGCATTTGACAAAGAGTTCCAGAGGGACCTCTGCTGGGTGTGTTTGCCTGCTTGATTTGACACTTGATTTTTCCTTCTGCAAAAGTAAAATACTTTAATTGTATTATTATATGCATAGGAGAGTCTTGTCTGCCTATATGTCTGTGTATCATGTGAGTGTCTGGTGCCCTAGGAGGCCAGAAGCTACAGGCCTGGAGTTACAGGAGGTTGAGAGCCACTGTGTGGTGACGGGAATCAAATCTAGGCCCTCTGGAAGAGCAGCCAGTGCTCTTAATGGCTGAGCCATCTTTCCACACTCCAGAAGTAAAACTTTTTGCCTTGCTGACAAAATTGTGTGGTCATTTTTGTGGGACTCCAGACTCATTTCTAGCAAGTTTCAGATTTCCCAGTGACGTCTTTGCCCGTGTGAGCAAATTAGCAGGCAGCCATAGAGTTGTCAAACTATCTTTGCCTCTGTTCTATGGCTCCCTGAGCCCCGAGGCCAGGTCCCAGGCGCGTCTCCAGAGGACCGTGAAATGAGCTAGGCAGCTCCCTAGGAGCAGTGTCTGTGCAGCCTCAGCCCCTGAGGCACCATGCTCAGCTCTTTGAAGCCAGGAGCCCCTTCGGTGAAGGCTCCCCTGCAACCCTCCCTCTGGCTCTCTCCTCTCCCAGCTTCCAAGTTCCCCAGCCTGGCTGACAGCCATAGCTTCAGGGTGATGAGAACTCTACCGAAAGGTGAGGAGAAATGACAGCTGGCTCCGGATCTGCCTGAGAAGCAGAGTATCTGCCAGACCCCATCATACTCTGAGACCGCTGTGGGCCCTTCCTGGGTGTTGGGCTCCTGGGAAGGCTTGGAGCACTCAGCAAAGATGCTCTGAGCTACAGCCCAGAACATCGATTTGCTTTCAGATGCCAGGAACAGAAAATGTAACCGACTGCAATTTTTTTTTTAATGGATGCTCTTGTCTGTTGGTTGCATGGTCGCAGTTCCTTTTGTTTATACTCCCAACTTGGGAGGCTGAGATGGGCAATAGAGTGAGACTTCATCTCAAACAAACAAACAAAAAATAAATAAATAAACAAAATGGAAGCTTTGTCACGCTTCCAAACAAGCATTCTGGGTGTCTGCTATCTGACACTGTGGCCTAACAACCCCCAAGTAGGGTTATCACTCTGGGTATGCCTGTATCTCAGTCTCTTTTTGTTCAGTCGTATTGCATCAGGGCCAACTCTAATGACCAAGTCTTACCCCAACTGCCTTTGTAAAGACTCTTTCTCTAAACACAGCCATTTCTATGGGATGGGATGGGATGGGATGGGATGGGATGGGGCCAGGTAGGAATTAAGTGTGACTTTTAGACTGCCATCCAGAACATGCTAGAACTGCTGGTCTGTCAGGAACAGGGAGACCAAGGAGACAGAAGATTTTTCAGGTAGAGGACTGGCTTCTGGGAACTCTTAGGTACTGAGGCTACAAATAGCACTCAGCCATCATACACATGTACGCATGTCCAGCTAGGTGACCATAAAGATGGTTGGTGGTCTGGGGGGAGTCTTATACTTTAATGGGCTGGTCCAGATGTACAAGTCCAGCCTGGAACACCACCGGGCTATGGGGCTAGGTGTTGTTGCTGTGAGCTACCTTGAGCTGGCTCTATTCTTACATGACACTCCCAGTCTCATCCCTGGGTATCTAGGCAGAGAGACGCCTGGCATGTGGCCTGGCTCTGGCAGAATTCAGTCTGCTGGAGAGACTGTAACAGAGAAGAAGACATTAGTTCCCTGGCCAGTGGTACCCAGCTGAAGCAAGCCCAAGGCTGCAGAACAGCCTCTGGTTGATCCTGGGAGCATAGAGGGGCCCAAGACCCTTAGTTCTTTACTT